CATAAAACTCTCTCTTATACGTGTGTTGCTGTGGATTTGTTTCTCCAAAGTACCCAGACTGACACACTGCTTCTTGTTCTTCTGGAAATACCGTATTTCAAATGCAGCAGTTCTTCTCCAGTTTCCCTTATTTATTGTGCGATGTTGACAATATGAGGTAATTGAAAATACCATGGATTAGGTCAGGAACACCTTGTTCCTCAAGGTGAGATCTTTGCTCTTCAACACTTTAAAGAGGTCTTGTGAAGCAGATTTGCCCAATGCAATGCATGGTTTGACTTCTTGACTGTGCTTCCATGGGCACTGATTGTTGGACCCAAGTAAAATGACAAATTTAACAACTTCAACCTTCTCTGCGTTTGTCATGATATGTGCACTCGTCCAGTTGTGAGAATTTTTTTTCTTTACAGTGAGTTGCAATCCATACTAAAGGCTATAGTCAATTTTAGCCCCCTAAAATTCATGTCCTTGGCACACATTCCCCCATCACAAATCATAGCTTTTAAATCAAATATGGGGCAAAATTTCCTCCTCAGGAATTTTGAAGCTCAGATTCAGGCTACAAGTTGTCTGTTTCCAAAGTATAATGGGAGACATTGGAGAGAAAGGGGGATAACAGGCACCAAGCAAGTCTAAAACTCAGCAGAACAAATCACATGATCTCGGAAGGCTTGAAAAGAATTCTTTGGGGCAATGGCCCCACTCTCCAGACTCCTGGGGAGGCCACTCTGCCCTGGACTTCAGCTCTACCTTCCAGGCCCACTGATGAGGCAATTCTGTTCCTTTGGCTTTGGACAGCCCGAGGCCATCTGAGTGGTGCCCCTACCCCCTGAGCTGGCAGGCCTCTTCTTCAGCCCCTTGAGCAGGTAGCCCCCCTTGCTTGACTTTGGATGGGGACTCCATCCCCCTGGTGGCCTACAATCCAGAACTGAGTTTTTTTAAAATCTGACTGAAATTTAGGAGGCTCTTGAGATCCCCAGCCTTTGAAACAAAGTAGTCTCTGCTTCCCATGCACTTCCAACAGCATTGTTGACCTTCCAGATGCCCCGAGGGGTGGTCTTCCTGATTCCTTGTCCAGTGTTGACAAGCCGAGGTTGCCCGCCTCTTTGGGGGAGAACAACAAAATGTAGCTCCTTTGGCCTGTTTGCCACCTGTAAAACCCCACGAGGCAGACAGCTTTCTTTCCTCCTGATCTCTTTCTGTCTCCTTCAGTCTAAGCTGATGGGTTTCTGCTGTGGGAGTGGATTAGATCCATGGTTCACAGGTTTTATCTCTTTAATCAAAGATTGTGTAGCCATCTATGTCCTTGGTAGAAAATCCAGGACATGTGTCCTGAGTTCGTACAACAGAATTTTCTAAAGTTTACTTTTAAAAGTTTTCAGAGTTCACTTTTAAAATTTTTCTTGACATAAAATGCACCTCTCACACATTTCAGTAGTTCAATTGTATTCCTAAGAGATGTGCAACCGTCACCACAATCAATTCCAGGACAGGTCTTCTTCCTTGTACTGGTTGCGGTTAGCTCTCCATTTCCCGCCACGTCACCTCCCATGTGCCCATGAGCCGCTTAATGCAGTAGTCCCTGTGCACGGGTGTTTTGAAGTCCAGCTCTTTCTTCTCCCGTTTTACTGTAAGTATCGAGGAGAAACTACTTGACTTAATGTGTTAGACAGGTTCTCTAGAGAGATAAAACCAAATTGCTGATAATTTAATATATTTATTTATAAAGATAATTAGATATATAACAAGAAATGAACTGTTACATCATATACAGATAAATATATAATACAAGAAAGAAACAGTTAAATTATAAAGCACTACAAATGGCTCAATGCAACTCACTCCCGTGAGAGACTTGTGAGAGACTAGCAGTCCTTCAAGTCTAGTCTGCTGCCAGATCTTCCTCTATTTATAGAGAGAGCTAGGCTATGTCAGCACAGCAGCCAATCAGAAGGCAGGTCACCAACTGCCAGCCAGGTCACCAACTGCCAGTCCCTAGCTCCAGAGATGTCTTAAAGGGACCTCAACTCACAGCAACATAGTCCACAGGCTAGGAGTCCCATAGGTAGTGTAGCCTTTAAATTGAGGCACAGAACAAGCCAGGCAGCTGCACACTGGTCCGATGATCAAAGAGTGAATGACAAGATAGGCGAGGCTCACGAAGCCATTTATCTTTCTGCCCTTCAGTTAATCCCACGTGTGTTTATCGGGCAGGCTGGCACAATAAACTATCTTAAAGTATCAAGGAGAAACTACTTGACTTCTTTAAGATCTTGCTTAGAAGTCTTCTCAGCTAAACATCTAAGTTCATCAGTTAAAGTTCCAGCTTCCATCAAAGATTTGAACATAATACAGACAAGTTCTTTGTCACTGCATAAAAAACATCATCCTTCCTCTATTGTCTAAGGACATATTCATCATTTTCTTTCAAAGTCTCACCAAAAAACTTTCATTTCTACATTCCTAGCAACATTCTGTTGATTGTGCCATATGCAGTCTCTAAAACAATATTTTTCTCTGTAGCTCTTCTCGCATCTTTCTGCACCCTCACCAGAATTTTCTTTGGCATCCATAAGTCTACCAATAGTCTCTTCAAGGTGGTCTTGGCTTTTGTGATCTGGCACCTTAAGACTCCTCCAGTCTCTATGCATCACTCAATTCCAACAGCACTTCCACATTTTGGTCTTTGTTAAAGCACTCCTCACTCCTCTGGTTCCACATCTCTCGCAGGGATTTAGTGCAGTCACAACAGACCTCACAAACAGAAATCTATTTTCTCATGATGGAGGAGGCTAGATGTCAGAGTTCAGGGTGCTGGCTCTAGGGTAAGCTTTCTTTCTCTGTTGGCTCTGCAGAGAGGTCTTTGTCTCTTCTGAGCTTCTGCTTCTGGGTGACTTCCATGTGACTTGGAATTTCCTCCCATATCTGCTTACTAGCCTGTGATTAATCTGTTTTATATCAAGACATACCATACACTAATCCTACCTTAGTTACATTCCCAATGGGATTAGAACCATAGGTTAGGATTTACAACGTACCAAAGTATGGGGACATAATTCAGTGTATAATACAATGAGAACCTTGATCAATTTGAGCTACATGACTGAAAGCTAAGGAGTCTTTTGGATAAGCAGAGGATTTGTATCCATGAACATTTGGGGAAACGTCAGCAAGTGCCACACATTTATGACTAGTGCTTTTTAGTGCTAACAGTCACATTTTCTTTTCTGGTGGCCATTTTTCCATGCTTTACTGTTTCTCACTAAAAATATTATACTTAAAGTTGTCTTTTTCATAGACACAAATGGCATACTTATGTTTCTGGAGGCTAGCTCATAAATTAATCAAAAAGTGAAGCAGGTTGCTTTCTCTTAGAAGGCACTATTAGTATTCATATAATATAAATGAGTACCTAGTGATTTGGACACCAAAATCAATCTGTCCCTGTACTTGGGTCTGAGACAAACAGGATTTCCGTTTAGATCCACTTTCCACAGCTTCATTAACTTGCCCAGTAAAAACTCCAAATCCTATAATTGTAGGAGAAAAAGCAAGACATAAGAATTTCATAATTAGGAGTATTTCTAGAACATTCCAGGTAACTGCAATTAAGTGTTATTAGTGTTTGTCATGGAGTTCTAGCTTGGTAATAGGCACTTAGCAGGTACAATAGTTGTTTTAGATTAAATGAGTTTAACTGCCAATATTCCAGTTGTTGTGGAGCTGACTCCGACTCTGGCTAACCCAGGTGTGTCAGAGTAAGACTGTGCTCCATAGGGTTTTCAACAGTTGATTTTGCAGAATTAGATCACCAGGCCTTTCATCTGAGGTGCCTCTGGATGGACTTGAACCTCCAGTCTCTCAGTTAGCAGGAGAATAACCCATTTGCACCAAATAGGGATTATACTGATAATTGTTATCATTCTGTGCTATCATCTCATTGTGATCCTACATGACAATGTAGAAGTGCCCCATGGGGCTTCCTAAACTATAATCTTTATGGAAGCAAATTTCCAGATCTTTTCTCCTTTAGCGTGGATGGTAGGTTCAAACCTTGGACCTTACAGTTAGACAAATGCCTAACCATTGTAGATCAGAGGTCCTTACCCTGTTAACAATTACAGTAATTAAAAAACCCAGGGTCGGGGTGATTTCAACTCATAGTGACCCTACAGGATGAAGTAGAGTGGCTCCAGAGGATTTCCAAACCTGCAATTTTTAAAAATATTTTTATTGGGAGCTCTTACAGATAGCATAGAATTTCATAGTTCCACCACCTCAAGCAGTATTGTACAACTGCTAGCACAATCAGTTTCAAAACATTTTTTTCCATCTCTCTTTATTTCTGTCATATAAATGTATGGTTATGAGCAGTATAAATATTTCAATAGGAGCACATATATTGTGTATTACACATGAACATAGGTTTAAAGTTGATCTACTTGTCATTTTTAACATTTAATCCCTGTCAGTCAGTTTGGAGCAAAAATAAACAAATAAATAAATAAATAAGATGATTGACCATTGACTTATTTTTAATATCATCCAGACTGAAAGTATAAACAAAGTATAACTGATTTAATTAAGCAATTCAGATGAGTAAGAGAAAATGAGGACTGTTAGCTTTCAATTTTCAGGGCACATCATCCTGAAAAAAGAAGAACTAACTCTGCCAACTTCCTAGTAACTGCAGTTGTCCCTTGAACTTAGAGATCAGAGACACTAATGTAACTAACTACTCTTCACAGATCTGAAGAGGGACAATGAGTAACTTGTGAGGACTTTGATCTCGTATATTTTGACCATGGCAGTTACATAAAAATGCTCAGAACTTCTTAAAAATGAAATAAAAAACAAAGAAAGGAATGGGGAGCTATGAAGAATTGTTCTCTGTTCATGCCTCTGCTCTTATGTAGGTATTTCTATTTGCAGTTCTTTAAGGCTGTGTCACCCTATGTTTCATTCTGCTTGAACTCCTTGATATCAGCTCCCCTTTATACCCTTTCACCCTCACCCTATCCCCCGGAACTTTTATTATTTTCTTGGTCATAGCTTACACATGAAATATATCCACCACACAATTCTTTTGTTTAATCCGATCTCAAGTGGGGTTATACAGTCATCAATGCTATCAGCTCTTTATTTTCCAACACCCCCCACTTGCCCATACTCTCAGGGAACCATTACTCCTGTTACTGTTTCTGAAAGGTTAGCTATCTTGGCTTTCATATACCAAACGCTCTTAAATATACAAATGAACCTAGGTAAATCTCACATGATTAATGAGGCCAAACCAAAATAGCAAGGGGAGGAAATAATAAAGAACTAGAGGAGAGGTAAGTGGTCCATCAGTGCTATACTGCACCCTGGACTTATCAAACCTGTCATCTTTATGAAGGCAGACTGCCACATCTTTTGTCAATGGAGCATCTGATGGGCTTGAATCACCTTTCAATTAGCAACCAAGCATTTAACTACTGTGTGGCTCCTTGTACTGATAATACCATTACCATCAAGTTGTTTGGGTTCATAGGGCCCTTATGCAGGGTTTCCAAGGCTGTCAATCTTTATTGGAGTAGATAGTCTCAACTTTCTTCCCTGGAGCAGCAGGTAGGTTTGAACGTCTGACCAGACCGAGCCACCAGGATGCTAAAGATGAGGGGAAAGGTGAGGTTTGGAGTTGGTGGCTCCAGAACTGTTCTGTCATGCTTCCTTAAATGGACCCTACCTGAAGCTTAGAAAAGACACATTGGACTGCTGACAGGCCACCCATTCAAACCCACCCACTGCTCCCCTGGAGAAAGATGAGACTATCCGTTCCTGTAAAGATTTAGTCATGGAAACCCTCAAACTGTGGGCCGCGACCCCCTTGGGGGTCGAACGACCCTTTCCTAGGGGTTGCCCGATTCATAACAGTAGCAAAATGACAGTTATGAAGTAACAACGAAAATAATTTTATGGTTGGTTGTCACCATAACATGTATTAAAGGGTGGCGGCATCAGGAAGGTTGAGAACCACTGCTCTAGGAAGTGCTATGAGTTGGAATCGACTTGATGAAAACAGTGGGTTTGGCTTGGACTTGGTAGTCTACTAGGGTGAAATCACCTTATGGTGCACAGCTGGGAAGATTGCTACTCTTTAGAAAGTCGAAATGAGGATTACAAAGTTAAGAAGACCCCAGAGGACAGCACCAGGCAAGCACCTGTGATTCTTCCATGTGCTTTCTGCAAGTCAAATTTTACATCAAAATTATCATGCGAATTGTTAGATTGGTCTGTTTTGGTGTGGATATTCTCAGCAGCAGCAACAAAATAAGTATAACGTAGGGGGGAAATTATCATGGAGAACCAGGGGAAGTTGGGAAATACATATTACATATGCATTCATACATGTTCTCAATTGCAAAGCTGAAAGCAAATGGACTATGTGTGGCCTGGGTCTTTTATTCCCCAAATGTAGCCTCCCCTTTAAAGCTTGCTGTGGCTTCAGCCTTATTTATGTATTTACTTGACCCGTTTGTCCTCCCATCTTATTCTTCTCTCTACTCATGTTTATTACTTAGATAATTCCTCTTTCCAGTTGTATGGAAATTTTTCTGATAATAAGATTGCATCTATACTTTAAATTTGAGCAAAGCATTTTTTACTGTGAAGTCTTGGCAGCAGTTTCCTTCCACACATCAAATACCTCCATCAAACGCTCATCATCACAAAGGTACCCAAACAGGCCTCCAGCTGTGTGCCTGCACCTGCATCAAGGACCGCTACCTTTGGGGTACAGTTGCAAGGACAAGTGGCTGTCTAGGACCCCCTTGCCCAGCCTGTGCCACGTCTGTGCACCTTCCTGAAGCGAACCACTGTCTCTGTAAACTGGTGGAAGCATTTGCAGTTTGGCTTATCTCATTATTCACCAAAATACTGACAGAAACATAATGATGTGCTGGGATCTAAGAAAATGGAAAAAGCCAACTGTGAAGAATTTTCTTTTTGAAAAATATAAACAAACTAGCCACTCAACTTCCTGGCACTTGGGCTTACCGTGTGCCAGTTGCTTAAGTTTTCTGAGTCTCATCACAGTGTTTCATTTACAAAGTGAGGATCATTGGGGTTGGATTCTGTGCCATAAAAAGTGTTTGCCAAGGACTCAAGTAGAAAGAAAATGTTTTGAAAATGATGGCAACATATGTACAAATGTGCTTGGCACATGGGTGTATGATGTATGTATGGATTGTGAGAAGAGCTGTAAGGGCCCCCAATAAAATTATTATTTTTTTAGTGCCGGTACGTGACCCAGACTCCTTCATGGACCTCTTCTCCTGCTAACTCCCAGTTCTAGAACCAAAGAGTTGGCCAGCGCGGCCACAGCAATACCTGGTAGAGAACTCACAGCAGGAGCAGTGTGGCACCAACTCAAAGTGGGGTTAGTAAGCCACAGTCCGGTGGGTGAATGGTTCCTTATCCGTCAAGGAAGAAAAATTAAGGTAATAAATTTAGAGTAAGTATTTAGAAACATTAATACCAAGTTGTAAGAGTCCTTTGAATCAAATAAAACTATGGACTGGCCTTCCCACCCCCCTGGCCAAGGTGCCTGGTACAAAGCAGATACATAATGAAACGCTTTCTCTGCCGCTTTGCCTGCCCTACCACTCCATGGCTAACTTTCTTTCTCTTAGTTTTGGTTAATAAAGTACAACAATTGTTGTAAATAAGGAAGAATAAGCTTCTGACTCAGTGAAAAATAAGTAGTAGGCTTTTTATACGAAAGCTTTCTTCCGAATGGTAAACTTCAGCCCTGTCCTGGACCTTGGGCTTTGCCCTTGCCTCTGCATCTGTGACAATAACAATAACACAGGCACAATTTTTCCATTGATGTGAGAAGTCCGCTCTATTTTTTTCTTCCTCTAAAAACTTTTAAGGATGGGATTATGCACTCCATTGGTGTGCAGCGTTAAATGCAATGCCTGTCGTCCAAGCGTTAAATAAAAAGAGGACTGTATGCCAATAAAGAGAGTCCTGTAGAGTGTTGTTAATTGTTCCTCACTTGATAAATGACCTCGCCATACTCTCCCTCCAGTGTATGTTTATTTTAGACTAAACTAATCCTGTGCTGAAATACGATTACCCTTTGGATACGCTCTGGTTGTTCATTGCCTTCCTGTCTTTATTAAAATGTGTTCACTTCCCTGCCCATCAATAAGTTACACTAAAGGGACCAAACACTTTTCTGGACAGTCTCTGTTTGATAAATGATCGTGTCATACTATCACTTAGAGCAGTGCTGCAAAATACTGAAGGGCTGCTTCTATTTACAAGCAGGGTTGGTGCTTAAGTGCCTTTGCCGACATCCAAAGCCCCAGCAATGTCTTCTCCACAATTAATGATGGTCACTGATGAACCTGTATTTGACCAGCATGCTCCAATCTTTATTGGAAACGTCTGGCCCAACTGTCCTAACTATATCTAAAGACAGCCATTTGTCATCCCTCTGACCGCCTGTCATCATCTGCCTGGGAAAATCTATAATTTTGGGCTTGTTCCTGACTAAACTGTGGAGTGAATAAATTTATCTTTGGGACGCTCAGCTTGTCAGGGTCAATATTGAGCAGAGGTTGAATAAATTAGAAACTGGGAAAATATGACAGGCCATAGTGGTTTGCTCATTTGAAATCAAATCTTGAGTTTATATAAGAGACAAGCCCATCAAGTTTTTGATTTCTACCACCCGTTCTAAAAATGCTGTATTTAATGATAAATGGTCATCAGAAAATCAATGAAGTAGATAACTAATATATCTGCCTGGAGATGAACTAACTATTCAGACCACTTTATTGATTTAGGAAACTTTGCAGACATAAAAACTGTGAGTAAAGATTAAAAATTTGTTGTTTGCTCTTTCCAGTTTTAATACATTCTGGCAACCTTGTTGATTTGACTTCATAGTATTGGTGAGCTGTACAATCTTGGCCTCGATGAAGTCCGTAGCTCAAAGTCCCACACGCATCAAGTCGCCTACAGAAATGCAAAGGTCTCCTTGAAAATCACCATTAAATGACTTAATATGTTCATTCATTGATGTATACTTTTTAAAGAACCTATGGGGAGCAGGGAATGCAGCGCAGTAGTAACCAAAGGTAAAAGTCATTTAAATGAGAGCCTTGTGAGTTGAAGACCTGAGTTTCTTGACTTTGGAATATTGGATGGCCTTCTGAATGGTTGACCTAGACATCAATTCTATTGGGATGAAGTGAGTCATCAGCCTCTGGTGTCACCCTTCTTCTTCCATTCTTCTTCCCCGTCTTTCCCAACCACATTTCCAGGTTAGCCAGTTGTCTTAACCTCTGCCAGGCCTTTTTCTCTCAGAACATTCTCTCTCTTCCATCTCCCATCTCTCAGTCCTCTCTGACTTTCATCCTGTTGGTGATCTACCATCATCAAACTCCTTCGAAGAGTAGTCTAGACCAGTGCTCCTCAAATCCAAATGTGCCAAAGCATCACCAAGGGACTTGTTTGGGTGCAGATTGTGATTTGTTAGTTCCAGAGAGGAACCCGAGAATGTGTTTCTTATGGTGATACTGGTGGTCTGAAGTCAGAAGAGTTTAAGAAAGGAATGCACTTTCTTAACTGCAGTGCACTCTTGCAGCCTGGTGCTGCTGAAGGAATGTACCATATCACTGAATCTTCATCCCCTACTGTGGGCTTTCTAGGTCTCCTCTTTCTTGAAGCACCTAACCTTGCTGACTCCTCCCTTCATGACTTTGTGATTCTACATTCTTGTCGGTTCCATTGATCCTTCGTGAGTCTCTGACCCCACAAGGAACAAATCTCTTACCACAGACATCCCCAATTTATAAGCAGGCTATTTTCTAAAAGTTGCTTTTAAGAACTCGGGACACATCTCATTAAAATAATATTAGACCTGGCGGACTGTTGCTTGGGTTGGCCCATAACAAGAAAAAACTCAAAAAAGAGCTGTCAGTGACAGTCTGTGAAAGTTTCTCCACGGTGCATCACCAAGTTTTCAGAGTTCTTGAGCCCCCTCTGAGTCTCCAG